CATTTTCCGGCACTATATCTGACAGTGTTTCTCTGCTATTCATAAGGTTTTCAGTGACTAAATATTCGGAAGTAGTTCATCACTCCTTCTTCCTAGTCTGTCTTCATCTGGAAGCTCATCTGAAATCTGTCCACCCTGGGTGACCCTGCTGGTATTTAAAATACCCATGGCATAGCTTCCAGAATCACAGCAACTCATAGGCCACCATAGTACGACAAACTCATAGTGACCCTGTTTAAGATTTCTGAAGAGCAGTTGATGAGTTTGAACCTCCAACCTTGCTGTTCAAATCAACTGTGTAATTGAGTGCTTATCCTCAGCACCACACCAGCACTCCTGGGTTAGCAATAGTCCAGTGCTTATCCTACAGTACCACATCAGAACTCCAGTGTTTATTATTTCACACACAAAAAATTGAGTGGGGGGAAATTGCCAGGAAAAGAAATCATTTGGAAACAAAACAAAACTTTTCCTACAAAAATTTTGGCCTATATATATCAACTCACATAATTGTAGCTGTATAAACAATCTCTAAGTGACTTAAAATTGAAGAGAAAAGCATTATAAATGTACTTTCTTTCTTTCTTAGGACTTCCTAAAGAAGTTTTCACCTGATGTCTTCCGGCTTTTCTGTATGCGGAGCAATTACAGGTCAGGTAAGGGATCAGCTAACAATTGTAGTCTTTTAGACTCTGACTGCCACATTACGTACTCATGTACAAAAATAAACCAGAACCCAAACCCATTATTGCTGAGTTAATTCTGTCTCATGGTAACTCTACAACAGAGGAGAACTGTTCTGGAAAAAAGCTGTAGTCTTGGTTTTGAACTGCCTACCCATTGGTTATCAGCTGACTGCTGAGTTCCACCTGCACGTCTTTGCTCATTCATGTACAGCTCAGAAAATAATTTTTTATGTTACTTTTGAGAATAGCAAAATCTGGACTACAACAAGCATAGTGTTGTGAGTGTGATTGTTTTTTGTGTTATACTGTTTGGGTTCTGAAACCAACACAGAGAATGAACTTTTATGATGCATTGTGGGCCACGAATGAGTCAGAAGCTCTCTAACATGACATCCCTGACTGGCAAGCATCCTGTAGAGGATGAGTTTCTAAGTCAGACCCCAATTCAAGTGTCCTCGTCACTCTCAGGTAGCTCTAAGTTCAGTACCTGAAAGCTGTTGCTGTTGCTCGGAGCCACTGAAGTGTTTCTGACTTACTGTGACCTCTTTGTGCGACAGAAAGAAACGCAGCCCAGTCTGGCAGCATCCTCACAGTCACTGCTGGGTTTGAGCCCACTGTTGTAGCCACTGGATCACTTCATCTTCTTGGGGGTTCTAGCCCTCTACTAAGCATGATCTTTCTCCCCAGGGATTGGCCTCTCTTGATAACACTGAAAGTTGGTGTTAGAAGTATAGCCAGAATGCTCTCTGTTTAAAGTAAGGATGATGAGACTTCATCCTACACAAATGTGTTCATTCTTCTGGCAACCTATGGTAGATCTAATGTTCACTGCCAGCACCACACATTTTCTTCACTCTCCCATACTTATTGTCCAGCTTCCACATACATATGAGGTGAGTGAAAATACCATAGCTAGAATCAGGCACCTCTTAGTCCTCTAAGTCACATCTTTGTTTTTAAACACTTTCAAGAGGTCTTTTTTTAAAAATGTTTTATTGTGAATTATGTGATAGTTTACATGGGAGAACATTAGCTTTACATTCATCCTATTGTATATTGTTTCAACGCCATGGTTACAATCCCCTCCATGCATCATCA